GAGAGAAGATTCCCCCTGCGATATTAAAGCGATAACAGTGCAGAAGCAAAAGCAAATGGCCCTAAGCCTCCAGCTATGCTCTCCTCTAAAATTGTTTTCCTGCAAAATTAGCGGATTGACTAATGGCGTAAATGCCGTTAATTACCAGCGCCAGTACCCCAAACAGTCGTCTGTGCCTGTAACTAATAAGAAATCAATTAGCTAATGAATTGGTCATTAAGTGATAAGCTCATCTTGGCCGAGGTATTTTTAATGATTATTTTTTGCCTATGATCCTGTCTAATTGCCGTTGTCATACGGCGCTCTCAGCTTTCAGCATGCCTAATGAAGCTTCATTAGATCATAACTGGCACTCTTGGAAGATTCCCGGGCAAACCTGCTTCCCAATTATTTTTAATTGCCAGACATTCTGCACAAACAAGTGCCGGTGCACCTTGTGGAACAGGAGTGCTCGGACGCTGCCTTCATGACTTCATTTGAAGCGATTAGAGCGTGGGGCAGGGTCGCTCGGGCGCCGTGGTCGGCTGCAGAATGAAAGAGGCTTCGCTCAGACTGATGCCATCATTGGAGAGCTTTGATTTGGGGAGAGGAGCAAATCTGTTTTGACCAGTTTGGAACGGTCCGTGTTGGTTTGTTTGGTGTGAATCTGGGTAATTAAAAGGTATTGTGAGAGAAGGTTAACTTAACATAATACTTAGACAAGTTTGATTCATCAGCAAAAGAACAGAGTAGTGTTACAGGGATGTATTTAATATTCTATTCAATATTACCTTCAATCAAGTCATCTTTAACAGAAAAACCTTTTCTCGTGACTGCACCAGTTTGTTTACAGCTGTGTTGTGCTCCATAATGCCTACAAGTCACTTTCCTGCAGATTATGTGTTTTAGAGAAAATTATGATTAAAAATGTCTTTTGTGCAACAGTTGCAGGTAATTGAAGCCTTTTTGTAATTAGTTAAATCAACTAACTCCATTCTTTGTTTTTTTTCTTAGGTACCTTAATCATTATTTTATACATATATACCAACACAGTAGTCAATATAATGTCATGTATAAGGCTAAAACGATTATAGATTGAGTTAAAAGTAAAGTAAAACATTAAAAGTTGTTACACCCAGACTAATATGAAACAACTCTTTCCCACATCTGGAACTGCACCATCTACTGGCAACAGAGTGAGACTGACAAAGTTTGACTAATGCTAAAACCATAGCTGCTGTTCATAAAAATAAATCATCTGAATTTTACACTCTTTTTATAAACTTCAGCCAGTAATCTAACAATCAAATTCCAATTGTGGAAAACGTTTGTTCCTCCACAAACACGTTAACAGCCCATTTATTTCATCTCTACTACAATCTCACCCAAATATTGTCAGGAGAAAAACGGAGACATATCAAAATCATCGACTGAACTGTGTAACACTTTTTGCACATTTACAGCAGAAGGAGACACTTAACCACTGATCATTCTTGTACGTGTTTGACAGAAGCAAAGCCACCAGAGGGTCCCTTCTGGGCATGAATAATGAAGACAAAAGCAGTGTGTTATCTTTACTCTTGTGTGCGTATAAAGCTCATAGAGACGCTCTGCTGTAAACTGTTCTCTTAGAGGTTCTCACACCAGTCCCTGAATCGCACTTAAGAGATCCTCCAGATGCGACTGTTATCTCATTTGTGTCCATGAATAAACAGTATGGTCATTCCTGTACTTATGAAAGAGATCACTTATGGGCAATTTGTGTGAAATAGTTGTTAAAGAAATGCAGCGTTTATAGAGAGAGAGAGAGAGAGAGAGAGTGGAGATGGGGCAGGTTAAAGATGTGTGAAGTGAGAGGGTTACAGTCTGACAAGTGTGATGAGCTCTCCAGATGTTGATCCATTATTCAACAACAGCCTCTCAATATTCACCTGAGGAAGGCAGAGGTGGAGCTGCTGCTTATATTTTTAAAGAGCCTGGATCATGCTATGTGGAAATTCTGTGCCGTGAAAGTGGTGTTCGTACTTCATATACGCACATAATGATAACTAGCACTTTTTTTTGGACAGTCAAAGACACTTTACAAAAATAAGAAGACAAAATTAAACAAATGCAAGATGAGTATTGACGTTCTGAAGTATATGCTTGATTAGACCGGCCATACCTGCATGTGAAAGCCAGATCCAGTCAGGGCCTGGGTAGCACTGTGATGTGAACACCAGGTGAAAGACCAGGTGCCACAGTGGGGCGGCTGCGGCTTTAAAGTGCAACTGTCGTTGCCCTTAGGCAAGACACTTCACCCACATTGCCTTGAATAACATTCTATAACATGCATGGACATCTATCAACATGTGTGCTATATTCTTTTTAAATGTTGATTCTCTGATCTGTGTCGGTGATTTCAATGGTTTTGTTAAGTCTCTGAGATGACTACTTTTGTGATTTAGGGCTATACAAGAATATATTGTATTGTATTGTTTTGTATGAGTCTGGTGTGTGCGTGAATGGTTGGTGGTGGCCAATGGCACATACTGGTTGCCTCACTTCTGTCAGTCTGCCCCAGGGCAGCTGTGGCTACAGTAGTATTTTATCACCACCATGAACGAATAAGCCCGCATGTGAAGCATCGTGTCCAAAAAAACGCTAAAAATGCATTGTTGTTATTATTGTTAGACTGTGACATATAATATACTTGTGTTAGATATTTTATATCAAACTTTTTTATAATTTTTCATAATCCCCTTTTTTACTTCTACTGGTATAGGCCTACTGTACTTACTTTTACCATTTCAGGTCAGGTTTTGTCAGTACTGATGTGAGATATCAGCATTTTAACAATGTTAGATCAATATTAAGATTTTGAATGATTAGAACATATAATAATGACTATAATTATATCAGAGAAGAAACTATAATATGCCTACATTCTTCGGTCATTAGTCAACGTAACAATTTCATACCGAAAATGACCAGTTTGCAGACTGAAAGGATTCAAGTGTGAAACTTAATGCCATTTTGAAGCGGTGAAATATGTTTATTTGTGTACATTGACTCTTACTAGTCAATCATTCTTATAAAACTGTAGAAAGGAAAGTGAGTTTGGATGAATGAACAGGAGGCAGTCTCCACTCTGATCCCACAGCCGGACATGCACTCATTCACACACTCAAATCTCATTAGAGCACTTCTAATTGAACTTTATGATGCAGTGGAGAGCATATGCTCATTGGGCCAATCGAATCAGTGGAAGAGCACAGTAGACCAGGGACCTGCCAGGACTGCAGCTGAGCGAGACGTGTGAGGACCGCACACACTGTCCAGAAGTGGATCTCAGACCAAGCTTATAATAGATTCAAGTTAAAAACATGTAAATATACACAGTCTGTTAAAACTAGAGTAACTAACTTTGAAACCACATAAAATCTACTTTGATATCATCCATGCGGGTAGTTCCTGGCTCTCAAGACTCTTTGGTTTCTTCAGCAGTTCTTACATTCCATTTTGGCTTCTGTCACATCTTTTAGATTAGAGGTTTTTTGTTAAACAGTTTTTCTGATTTTCTTACAAGATAAAGACAATATGTTATGGTAGGATTTGTTCACAATGTATTTATGAAACAAAATGTTAGGTACTCCAGCTTTTAAATCTTAAATCTTAAATCAGATTCACTCTAGTGAGACCAGCATTCTGAAGTTCTACAAGTTTGTTAATAATCGTATATAATCGTATGCTTGTATAACCTAATGATTATTACAATATTTAAAAAGATCTAGCATTATTAGAAACCCAGTAAGCCAGTATATCAATATATTTTTTTAAGACTTACTTACTACAACCACTGCCTTACTCCTTACTCCTTCCTCGTGCTTTTCTCCAGCCATCTTTGCGTTTCACACACATTGCGTCTGACACTGTGCTCTATGGTGAGATGTTGCATGACCCTGTTTTGATCCACGGAGCGCTCTTAAGTGGAAGGGAAGTGGATAGACAGCAGCAGACACCGGCCGTCACACTCAAAGGCAAACATTAGGCTTTCCTCTACAGTTGCCCATCTGACTTCTCTCTTCTTCCTCACTTCATAAATCTTACATGACGCATTCGAAAGGTCACTTGTTTGATTGTGTCAGAAGGGGGGGAAACAGTGCCTTTTTATTTTGCATCTCTTTCTGGTTTAGATTTGCCAACAAAACTAGCTCAGAGGAGCAGCCACTATAAACCATGTCAAACAGTGGGATGTCGCTCCTATGTGTCATTCCCAATATCTCTGATCTAAATGTATAAGAATTGATGGTGCCGTCTACCAAATGCAGTTATAGTGGAACATGGTTTGTTTATTTAATGAAGCCGGTGTCACAGCCGATCTGCGTCCTTACCATCGCAGGCACTGGCAGGTGTTGGTGGCAGATTTCCTTCAAACAGGGCCACTGAATTAACAAATCGAATTAACATAACACTGGCGTTAGATCAGGGGTGCAATCGCCTCGCGCTCACTCTCTCAGTGGCAGGGGTTCAGGTCTGTTCGGATGCGCCCCTCTTGTGTCCAGATGTCCCCACACCGCCAGCATCTTCTGCCCAGAATACATTCACGAGCCTGAATCGCAATGTGCTGGACAAATGCAGAGTCTGTGCAGTGCCCCTGGATTAAGAGGGGTATTTTGTAAACATGGGATTAATTCTTGAATGGTTCTTTCCAGTGAAGAAATATAACCATCAATCTATCTATTTCAACGTGACATTTACCTCAGCCCTGAAAGGAAAATGCTTAAAAACCCAAACTTTGCTTAATCTACAGTCAAATAGATTCACTTCCCACACCGGCTATACCCTCCTTTATACAGTATTAACAAAAGAAAATGAAAGTAGATATCAGAGTTTAATTTTCCCACTTATAATTATACAACTATAAATGGTTTACCAGAGGCCATAACTACAGGGCCTCAGCTTCACAGAAAGTCTAGCCATTTGTTGTTCTCTGACAGATTTCAGTTGTGATCTGTATTACACTGGATTGTGTACTTCACCTTGTGTCTGCATTGTGACCTGACTCCTCTTCCAGGACTTCTCCATCTGCTCTCAGAACCAAAATGTTTGTCATACAGTCCTATAATCTTTGGATATCTTATAACACATTTGAAGCATTTTTGGTTAAACCTTGTCTTTCTAACACTACGCAGTAGCTGGTGATTTTCCACTTGATGCTTTGGTTATCTGAATGTTATTATTGGTGCCATGGCAGACTTTGAGAGGAGTGTCTGTTTTGTATTGTAAAAAGCCCTGTGCATGTGTAAAACTTTAGTCTTGTCGTTTTAACATCAGTCTGCCTGTGACTTGATCCCAGACCTCCGCAACTCGTCTCATTCTCAACAAATCAAAGGCTTTAGTATCTCCTGATGGGTTCTTCTTCTTCTTCTTATATAGAAAAATTGTGAGTAGAGAGAGAGGCAAATTATCCAAACTGGTAATTGATATCATTTAGACCAGATCATTTAGATCTTTAGACCAGAATACATAACACATACTGATTATCTAAAAAAGAGAAAAGAAAAAAAATTCTGTCCCTTTCTTAAGTGCAATACAAGATATTGAAACAAAATCTTCTATCCTGAGACAGAAGTGAAGGGGGCTAGAGGAGTAAATTTGGATCCTGCTGTTGCTGACGTTATGGAGGTGCATGGGGAAGCAGGAGCGTCTAAACTGAGTGTAAACTGGCTGTCACAGTCACTTATGGCCCTCCCATCCATCTACCTGGTGTTGTGAATGTTCTGGCAGCACAAACGCCGCCTGCCCACTGACTGTCTCCCAGCGTTAACAACAGTTTAGCCCTATTAAACAGAATATTAATGCGTTGCGAATGAGACTACCGAGCGCTATTAAAACCTCAAAGTGGGTGTGTATGCGGCTATATAAATTCCATTACCTCCATTTACCTCCGCTTTTATTCACTATTTGACAGGAGTAAACAAAAAGCAAAGCACTGGGAGTGAGCTGTACTTTCCTCCAAAACATTGCACTAAAACCGATTGTGACGTTACATTTCTTAATCACCTTATCTCAACCAAGCGGTTTCTTTGCCAACTGCACTTCAATACTTCTACCTGTCCGGGGAAAGTATCTGTTTTGAAGGCATGTGTCCAACTGAGTCTGCGTTAAACTCAGCTTCGCAAAATGAGGCCGGACACTGGAGCTCAATATGTAACGAATGAATGACATGAGCGAAGATGGAAAGCAGAAAGTAGATTTTTTTTCTGATTTATAATGATTTATTTTCAATACATATATGCTGCCTGACGTCCTTGGAGTTATGCTAATAGATGTGTGCACTGACAGCGATGGTAGAGTCAATCATAAACATCTCTCATCTCCTAATCACAAGCCAGAAGCGGCCGGGGATGCCTCCTAGACAAGCAATGGCACAACACTGACGAACGTAATGATCAACAACTCACTCTTCCACAAATAAAAGCACTTCAAGATGTACTTGAACGCTCAAGTCGGGTTTTCACTTCATTTGAATGGATTTAATGACAAAAGAAAGCTCAAATTACGTGTGAAAATGAAAGTTTTGCTGGTTAACAAAGGAACACCAATTTCGTCAGAGTACTCTCCAATTCCCGCTGTTGAGACTTTGGGGCGAAAAAGAGCTCTGTCCATTTCCATAAACGCTGGCGGCTGTCTCACCTATACACCAAGAAACACGGCTAGGCTAAATGCCCTGGCATATCATTTCCTTCTACACCACCACCTATTCTGGACCCAAAGGTTCATTACCATGCAGCCTGCCTTGGGAGGAAAAAGAAGGCAGCGCGCGGCGACGAGTACAGAGCTGAGATCATTGACAGCTTGATGTGGCGAAGGTCAATTGAAATAACAGGTTTTTGTGTGTTTTTTATTCTAAATGGGCCACTTGTGTTGGCTGTTGGAGAAAGGGGAAGCTGGGGAAGCTCGATGGCTGTTGGTTGGTGCGAACTGTAAGGGCCACATATGCGCTCAGGCACACACATTGGAACATTCACTGTAATGAGAAGGTTATGCTAAGGCACAGGCTGCTAAAATCTGTAATTATAATCAACCTCTCTCTCTCTCTCTCCTGCTCTCCTTTCTTTCCCTGCTCTTTTGCTCTGTCTACATCAGTGAGCAGGGCATGAGGGAATCCTTCACTAAGCACTGCAGGTAATGAGTTTATTGATTAACATGCAGAGATGAAGCGGGGCTCTCAAATTAGACTTGTTTTACATTATTGGATGGACTCAGGGCACTTCGGAGTGCTACGAGACCATTACCTCATTGCGGTCCCCCAACTCTCATCAGTGTGGGGAAAGAAAGCTATGGTGAGGAGAGCATAAGGTGAGCAAAACACAAATCAATGTAAGTAATTGAGCTGGTTATCATATCTGGTCCAATGTATTTTTAAAATGTCTGTTTAGAAATGTTCAGTTGTCTGTTCAATCCCATTAAAACACTGGAAATGTTCAGAGAGTCAAAGTGAGGGACGTCTGAGCAGAACTGACGCGGAGAATAAGTCTCTAAACAAAATGATTTCTCGCTGTTCAACAACCTCTGATAAGGATTGTAAATGTAATTTCTGAAACAACTGTATTCAAGTGTAAATATCCATAGATTTCCCGGCTAAATAAAAGCCCAAAAATAAAATGAAATAGTTGATGAATGCATGTCTATCCGTGCGGGGTGTGTTCACTGTCATCAGAGTGGCAGGTCTGCATCTGCTGAAACATCTGCATCACAATCATCACATGTGACCCACTTAACTGCTGTGTGACCCCACACACAAGTCCTACTGACAAATAAGACAATGCTACATTATTAAAATCTTGTACTATAATTAGTTTGTTTATTTAGTGTTAATTGTTTTGAAGTCACAGAAGACACAAAGTAAGTCCAAAAAACAGTCATATTGTTTGGCTGCATACACAACATACGTTATAGTTAAAAAAAAATACTTTTTTACTGAGCTATTTATTTAGTGGCACAGTGGTTAGCACTCTCCTTCTCAGCCAGATGGTCCTAGGTTCGAATCCCAGTTGGAACAGGGTCTTTCCGTGTGGAGTTTGCATGTTCTCTCTGTGTCTGGCTTCTGCGCTGGTGTCCCCTACCACTAAAAACATGTACAATATTTACAATCCTCCAAATCTGGTCATGACCAAGCGAGCATCAACATCTGGTGATGGGTCCCTGGGCGCTGTGCTACGGCGACCACTGCCATAGGCAAATGCAAATTGTCCTATTGGGATAAATGAAGTATACTTTATTACTTCAGATTAAATGCATTTGATTCTGGCTGAACAATAGATCTATTTATTTTTGTTCATTAAATTTGGTGTGTACTTGAGCATAGGCAGGGAGAGAACATTTAACAGAGGAAATTAAATGTTCCTCTGTTAAATGCTACAAACCTTGTAGCAGTCTGTTCCTGGGTTAGTTTAGGAAAAATATTAGATTTAGATTTTTGACACAGCCTTATGTGACCATCTCAACATTTGAGATGCAGATTTGACTAAGTTGTGTTTTGTGCTATCCTACAGGTAAAATCCTACGGGTACCGTCCCAAAGTGAATAGAAAATACCTTAATAAAAATTTAGGATATTTTTCTTCTACTTTTAATGGACCTGGGACATGGGATATTTTGGCGGCGTGTGCATGAACCACCTGTCTACATGATTGTACTTACCTTACAATATATTTAAAATACTGCACCTGTTTATAAAAAGCCCCTACCAAAGAACAGCTGAAGCACATGGACCTAAACGTCTGTCAAACAGAGTGCCTGTATCAAAGGCTCACAGTGCAGAAGGTGATGGTTGTGGCTGCTCTGGCAGAGGGGAGTCTCAGCTTGGGCTTCCCCCGTCTCCACCTGGATCTTCCCTCTGAAGGGTCCTGGGGCGCGTGTGTTGGTCTCTATGAAGACACCAGCTGAAATGGCAGACAAAAGCACCAGTGCCTCTGTGGCGTTACTTTGATGTGATCAGTGCTCGTGCTTTGTGATGTGGAGGAGCTGTCAGATTAGTGGCTCTGTCAGGCTGCTGTCTGCTTGTCTGTTGGTCCTGACAGAGTCTGTGATGGAGCTCATACTAAACAAAAGGCCTCTCACCTTCTCTAAGCCCCATTGTATCACTCTTTTACAGAGGCCATGTATACGTCCCATCTGCGGATAGAAATGATTCTGACAGTAAACAAGAAATATACACGTATTATTCAATATTTGATCTTTATTTCATTTAACATAATTCCCTTTGCCAATATGAGTACATTTGATTGATCCACAGGGCCAATCAAACAGCCAAAAAATGTATGGATGAAAAATCTTAGCTGAAGCATAAAAATATAATCACACTTACTGTATAAGTTCACTATGTGAAAAAAGCAATAACAGGTTGCAGGGAAGTATTTACAATTATAGCCATGGTTATCAATAACACATTGACACGGCTGACTATACTTGTGAATGCGTTACTGTAAAGAACATAGTTGTATTTGTATTAATTAAAAGATAAACAAGCGATATAGAGTGAAAAAAAATGCACTAAATTAAGTTTTGTTTTTTAACGTAAAGTCAGTGCTGCTGTGTATTTTTGTAAGCAGGTAGGCATATGTGTATCTGTATCTAAACACTCATTTTAGATGCACTAATTTTGGACTTCCTTTGAACCCAGATGTGGTCTGAAATGAAGCATGAAGAGACCAATCCACTGTGGGACTCAGGGTCCACAATGTACAGGTGCACTGTGCCTTTGAATGAGGCCAAATAGCCCCTAATGAGGAGAGACTGATCACTGCTGACACAGGCCGGCCAGTGTACTGTATGAATTTCCTTTGGCAGTAATACCTATTTCCTGTTTCACTTGGGTCGTAATTAAGGGCCCGGGGCCTGTGTGCCTCTTTGGACATATTCATTACTATAGTGCATTATCCAGACTTCACCATATCACCATCTGTAAAGCCAAACAAATTATGAGAGAAAATCCTTTTAGCTACTGTACCAATACAAACAATCCAGCACAGATGACTTCAATGTTTCACTCACAACAGGGTTTGGGTATTTATATAGACA